AAACAAGGTCAAACAACTTCTATACAACGAAAGGAGACTGCGACCACACAAAAGGCCGCACCATCTTGATCTTCATACCTTCGAAGCAAACTTATATTTGCTATAAAAATCGACTACATTACATTTATGAGATTCGTTTAAGGTAATAAAGGATCAGTAGTTTTGTGTGAATGAATTGCTCTTGAATTGCGCAAGATTTGATACTCCAAAGCATATACGAGCCCAATCAAGGCTCCTGCCCTTGTTCGATGGTACCTCCCGTTACCGCTTTCTCGATAATCCTTTCCAATAGCTACAAATATTTTCCACTTAATTTCCCACACTCTTTCCTTCTACTCAGTGTGTTGGCGGTTTTGTTGATTTCCATACTTTGTCTAATCTTCCGCCTACTGGTACAGTTTTCATAGCCAGCTAATGTTTCACACTAGACCGGTCTATCTAGTGAACTGTGCCAGCTTTGTGGGACAAGAAGTAGAGCCAAGCAAGATGAGTAGGCTTGATTTGACTTTGATTTGGTTTGGACTCCCATACCCCAAGCAAGTAAAGAGCAATACATTCATACAGCACGCATACAATAGAATGTAATAATATACGTTAATATTGCATGATAAAAAACAAGTTTTCTATGAGAGGATGCAGGTGTTTGGTCACAATTTCATCCGTTTCATGATTCATCTGTAGCCACTTCACTTTCAATATCATATAGAGAGGAAGAAAATCATGAGGTGTAAAAATTAGGTATGATTGAGTACGGCTACTCTTCCTATCTTTTTGCCATGATGTCCTGTTTTCACGATCTCCATCACACAACGGACGCAAGCTCTGCAACGATGCATCGGGGTCGCAGAGTGGTGCACCGAGGACTTATTTGCACAATTCTACAATCGCAGCTCAAAAGCAATCGCCCTACAGTTTCCGATGAGACCAATTTAGGGATCACTTTAACTCTCCTCCGCACACGAAATGAAAGCTAACCCAACATCAATCTTTTGAGGAATTTTTCATAACTCATTTTTTCTACTTAATTTTCATGTTTTCCCGGTGCTGAATTGTAGCGAGCTTTTGTTTTCCAGCCAGTTATTGGCATTGTAACTGGGCCAATTATCTGTTGACTTTGTTGGTCTGCTTGCTCTTAACTTTCATCAATGCATCGTCTGGTCCGGATGAAAGGCAGTAAGTCATATTGTCCTTTCATCCAAACGAATTGGCATCCTTCGGCGAGCCAGTCGGAAAGCTGAGGAGCATTTTAGAGTGACATGATGTCACCTACTCAAAATCCCATTGTTTCTATGTCAATAAATTCTATTTAGCATTAATTGTCTACATTCTCAGGTTTCTGGTCTCTTCTCTCGTGATGAAATGGACGAACTGCTCTCCAACCTGGTTTCTACCATGAAAAAAGAGTTTCCAAAGCGTCCTCCAGAAAATGAGCTGCTCCTCGACTACTTTATGCAACGTGTCCGCAAGAACCTGCATATTGTGCTCTGTTTTTCACCAGTTGGTGAGAAGTTCCGTCAACGGGCGCTCTACTTTCCGGGCCTAATCTCCGGCTGCACCATAGATTGGTATCATCGTTGGCCGCAGGATGCACTGCATGCTGTTGCTCAGAGTTATTTGGGTGAATTCGACATCACCTGTACCACAGCCATGAAGGGCGCTCTGATACAGATGATGGCTTCCGTCCACGATGACGTGGCGGCCAAGTGTCAGGCCTACTTTGTCCGATACCGTCGCACAACACATGTGACGCCAAAATCGTACATTTGTTTCCTTACGGCCTACAAAAAGATATATCAAGAACAGGTGAGCTAGTACAAGTCTATATTGATCAGATGTGGATTCATCCTATTTATTTTAAGGTGTTTCTGAACAAAAATATATATTTTTTCAGAGTCGGACCTTGGACGTGGTCCGGTCTCACACGTTTCGCTGGAATTGTCAGTGAGCATTGTCAGTATTAGCAAGACACTACAACTCGTCAAAGATCGATTATCGTCTTCTCTCATGGACTATTCACCAATCCTATATCTTCGTATCACACCTTGACTACCACAATTTATTAATTGCTCATTGAAATGTGGTATGGTGTGCCCTTTTGAGCGGATTTCACGACAATTCTCCACACCCCACGCTGGCTTTCTCACCTCATCCACCTTCACCCTTGTATTGGAAATATTTATTAGTTATGAGGTCCTCAAGCCCCAGGTCTTATCACAGTCTCCCTCTTGCCCCGTAAGATCCGTCTTCTCTCTCCCTGGTTCCAGTTTTTCCCTCGAACCCCGTCACCCCATCTGTGCTAGTCGAGGCGTTATTACCTACACTCTGCCTCCGAGAGACTAATTTGAGGCTAAAGACCCCGAGTACTTCACATGCTCAAGCATTTTCTTCATGGACCATGTATATGATGAAACATGTCTACCGTCAGCCAACTAGCTCTAGTCTTCGCCGCATCCATTGTGCCAAGTCTATGATTTCTTATGCCCTCAGTGCTTGTGTGATAACCCACAAATGTTGTGGTTCCACTTATTTTGATTGGGCTCACTGAAGAAGTCTCCTCTTAGCTTATGAGTGTTCCGTTCTGATCTTGTTGCGATTTCTTCTCCTAAAAGTAAAGATGTAACCTTGATCCAGTCTTATTTTTGCTGATCTTAATTTTGCCTGATCTTCTTCGAGTTTTCTTAGGCAATATGCAAAGTTTTTGCTGATCTTGCCGT